AAATGCAGTTAGTGTGTTCTTATTGGATTATAATTAATTACTAAAACATGCTTATTGTGCCTTGTGTATGACAGTAACTGTATAGTTTCTCAGCCCATTTTGAGAGTGCATGTGCAGTTTGGGGAGAACCAGTTGTCCTAAACTGAAAAAAGTAAATCTTATTTCTGCCTTGGCACTTGTATCGGAGCTCAGCTTCAGGAAAACTATTGTGAACTTCTTTGTGCTACATTGTGGCATCGTTCAGTGCAGTTTTCAAATCAAACTGGCTGACTATAGTTAGCCTAGTGAATCTCAACCAGGGTGCCATGGCCACAGCACGCTGATCTTTCTTAACATCCATTCAAGGGTGCCACGGTGTGCCATGCAGTGTTAGCACTTTTAGGTGTGCAGAAACGATTCACAAGATAAACCCAGAGATTGCAAATAAGAATCCTTAGTATTAAAGTATTCTGACGTGCTGCGGGCTCTCTGCGTTCTTTGCATCAGAAGAATTGCTCTAGTATTTTTCTGCAATCAAAAAATGAGTGAAAACTTAGAGTTGGTATTTTCTAAGGCATACTTTGAGTCTAAAAAGATTGAGAACCACTGAATGTTTTTAGACTCAAAGTACAAATCTGTAGGTTGGTTGATTATTTTTTTTTTCATATTTTTAAATTTCATATAAAGGAATACTAAAGGCTAAACCAATGATTTAAAGCAAAACCTTGCATTGTTATTTGTTGAGGTCTGTTTGACTTTGTATAGAAGACAGGGGAAGAGATCTAGGAGTCACTGCAGTCTGGTAGTAGACAATACAAATAAGATGACAGTGCTTCCCGTGGCTGGAGGAGGGTTTCTAATAACATGAATCGTGGCTGGAACTGTCTAATAATTGATTGGTAAACCTGCAGGAATTTATAAACATTGTTCTTGCTCCTCGCCCTTATTCCTGTACTTTTCTTCTCTGTAATGGACTCATTCGTGACATCACTTGTGTTTCAGCACAGTTCTGCTGCTTGCATTCCTAGAGGAAGGTTTTAAACGTTGTGGGGGATGTGGGGGGAGTGGGCTCCTCGATAGAGCACTTTTTGGGGCTTTGTCACTGGCCTGCTGTGTAAGCTTGGGCAAATCACTTTGTCTCTGCCACAGCAAGAAATCTCCACATTAAATAGCAAAAGGTCTAGATGGAAAACACATTGAGGAAAATGTACTTTTTGTACCTTTCAGTGGTCAGTATAAATACTTACTTCTCAGGTTGGGATATAGAAGCTGTAAAATGACCTGGGAAATCTTGTCATTTCAGTTTGCTATTCTTGCTTTTGGTAGAAGCAGTAGGGCTTTATTCTGTTTCTGCTAGGTTCTTGGGGAAGGAGGAAGAAGATAAATTTCTCTGGGCCTCATTGTCCCTTTAGCCACTTGTGCAGAGAAGCAAGGAAAGCAGGCTTAGTGAAGGAATGCATCCAAAACTGCTTTTCAAGACCAAAATGCAAGAAAAGAGCAATAAGCTGACCAGTGGAAAACATTATGGCTTCAGAAGTGCAAAAGGCACAATAAACAACAACACCCCTGTAATTTTTATGAAAAAAATTGACTAGCATGATGGACAAACTAATATAATGTACTGCAATATTATAATATGTCTGGTGTAAATATGTTCATATTGTAATTACGTTGCATGCCTCATTTTCCCTGACTAACCTGCAAAGGGAGGTTAAGAGACCTGAAGCCAAAGTTGCCTGGCTATAAAGTGTTGAATAGCCTTGCTGATGCCTCAGGTGAGCTTGGTTGGCAAGGGAAGGGGTAGAGATGCACATCATGATGGATGGAGCAATGTGGATAGGAGGCAGTTGCCCAAGAGCTGTTGGAGTCTGAACAGAGGAAACAGCAGAGATGACTTTAAGGGTGCTCAAGGCTATGCAGACTAAAGCCTGGAAACGAAATATATGAGCTGCTCTGGGGGCCCTGGGGCTTTGTGGATGGCAGAGAACACTCAGGGCTGTGCAAGCCAGATTGGACAGAGAAACTCCTAACCCTTTGGAGGGGGCAGGCTCTCCTTGCTCTGTGGCCTTTGCCCCTGCAAAACACCTTTATTGAAGAGGAGCTGTCTGCTTTGTTGCTTGGGACTTCAGGGTGCCCTTTTTTTACTTTGCAGCAGTAAAGCTTTTCTCTTAGGAGCTGAGCTACAAGGTTAGCTCCCTGAGCAGGGACATGGGTAACCAGGGAGGGAGCCAAGGCTCCCCCCACTATAGAAACCCTATCTGGGCTGGCTTCAAGAGAGCAAACAGAGCCAGTGGTCCCACACAAGTGGTTTATAGTTTCATAGTTTTAGGGTCGGAAGGGACCTAATAGATCTTCTAGCCCGACCCCCTGCCAGGGCGGGAGAACAACAAAAGAACCCTAAACAAAAAACGGGACTCAAATGAGTCCAGCCAGGTAGGCATCCAGCCTCTTCTTAAAGATCCCCAGGGTAGGGGCCAGCACCACCTCCCTTGGAAGTTGGTTCCAGCTCCTAGCCGCCCTAACTGTGAAGTAGTTTTTTTGGATGTCCAATCTGTACCTCCTCTCCATCAACTTGTGCCCATTACTCCTTGTTATGCCAGCGGGGGCTAGGGGAAACAGCGTCTCCCCCAAACCCTTCTGGTTCCCCCTAGTGAGTTTATAGACGGTCACCAGGTCCCCCCTCAGCCTTCTCTTGTGGAGGCTGAATAGGTTCAGGTCCTGCAGTCTCTCACTGTAGGGTCTGCCCTGTTATCCCTGGATCATGCGGGTGGCCCTCCTCTGGACCCTCTCCATGTTGTCCACATCCCTCCTGAAATGGGGCGCACAGAACTGGACACAATACTCCAGCTGTGGCCTGACCAGCGTCGCATAGAGGGGGAGGATCACCTCCCTGGCTCTACTCGAGACGCACCTGTGGATGCATGACAAGGTCCGGTTAGCCCTGCCAACCATGACCTCGCATTGTCGGCCCATGTTCATCTTGGAGTCAATAATGACACCAAGATCCCTTTCCGCCTCCGTGCTCTCAAGTAGGGAGTTCCCCATCGTATAAGTGTGCTGCTGGTTCCTACTACCCAAGTGCAGCACCCTGCACTTGTCCGTATTGAAACACATCCTGTTCCTGTTTGCCCACCCCTGTAACCTATCCAGATCCTTCTGCAATCTCTCTCTCCCTGCTAGCGTGCTCACCTCCCCCCAAATTTTGGTGTCATCAGCGAATTTAAACAGGTTGCTTTCCACCCCAACATCAAGATCGCTGATGTTGATGTTTTCTGGGGAGGAATCCATGATGGATAGTGAAATGTACCTAATGCTGCTTTTCCCGTCTTGAGAAAAGTATGTGATGCTGGCAGATTGTTTGCTTAAATCTCCATAGGAATTTACGGTCAGGAGCTCCAGTCATGAACACAAACATACAGAACCAGCAGACTTTTGTAAAAGAAGATGACCAGCCATGAGACAAAGCTATATAGTGTCACCATTTTTATTCGGCACCTACAGTGAGCATTTAATGAAATTAAGGACAGTTTTACAATGAATGGCAATGTAATTGAGAGTAGTGCCGTGCTACTGGCTGCCTTTCCAGCATGGGTTTCCACAGTGCAAATCTGTAGTAAGAGAGGTCACTTGAAAAGTGTAGTGGTATAACTTCCCTCCTCTCCTTCCCAAGACACAAATTAAACCCCAAAAGCACTCATGCTGAAACAGGAGTGATAGCAGTAACTGCAAAATCTGAACATAGCACAATTTAAAGGGGCCTCTTTAGTTAAAATAGGAATGGTCCTTAAGTGCTTTCCATATTTTCTATTACTATTATTTGCAGGGTGCAGGACCAGAAATGGTGCAATGGTGATGCAAAACTATGAATTACATGCCTTAGGCAGGCAGCTAACAGGTTCCAGGAAATCAAAACCTGCATATTTCTCCTAGTGCTGTCTTCTGAAAGGCAGATTATCTCCCTACTGTTCAACTCATAGTGTAGTAACATTAAAAACAGAATGGCAGAAGCCCTCCTTACATCATTCACCTCTAAATCAGCCATAATATGGTAACGTTGTATGGGATTTGGGTTTGGGGGGTTTTTGTTGTTGTTGCTACAACTACAATATTTCAGTGCTGATAGGCCATACCTAGGGGTTCTCTGACTCTACACCACAATGCAAGACTGCCTTTTTGTTATAGGCCTTCTCTCAATAACTAAGGGTACAAAATTATTGGCAGTTCTTCTTTCCCCTCATATTTCCCCAGGAGGATTCATAGGCGTGTCTCTTAGCATTGTACAAAGCTTTCTGCCTTTGCTGAAGAAAGGATTGTAGGAGCCTACTTGTGTGGCTGTTTTATTGTGCTTCACTGATTGCTTACACCCCCATTTTGAGTACTGTCCATTTGTTACAATGAGTCTTGTTGGACCTGCCACTTAAGCAGACGTGAGAAACCGATCACTCATACTATGCCAAGCAAGGTAATCTTCATGTTCACACATAATCACACTATGTTAATATGCAAACAGTAAGCAGTGGGTTTTTAAAATTCATCAGCCAGATGAACGTACTAGTTTTGAACTTTTACTTGCATGTTTATCTGTAAGTGGAAAGATCTGCGAGTTGCTTGGCATAGCATCGGTGATCAGCTTCTCACAGCTTCCCTACTGCTGTAGCAGCAGATCCAATAAGTTAAATCTACCCCCTTCCCCTCCTTAGTGGGAACAGGACCAGTGCTGTGTGCTACTGTCTTTATGCACTATCCTTTCCTCTGTCCTGTCTTGGGGACAAGCAGCAGTACACATGTACTGTAGAAGAAATGTGGGTAAGGGGGGCTAGGATCCTGGAAGGGGGAGCAGGACAAGGCTGGTCAGTTGGTTCGGGGCCAGGTTTTGCTCCTTGTGATGTGCAGGTGGTGTGAGCACTGTCGAGACAGTACTTAGGAATTTCAGCTTAAACGCTGAATGAAGGAGCAGCTGATGTGTGCCATGTCCCATTTCTCCAGAGCATCGCTCTACTACCTGGCCTTTTGGAGAGAGAATGAATGGGAAAGGCAAGGTGGGAAACTCCTGGCAAAGAGTGGGTCAGGCTTCTGCCATGGGAGATGCTAATTTGGACCTTGTATAATCTCTGAAATGAAATACTCTGTGAAAGGTGTCAGCTCTTGTAGTTATGCGTAACACGTAGTGCTCCAGAGCAGAATGGATTATATAGACATTGGTGCTGATCAGGAGGCACTTGACTGAAGTTTTTGATTTCCTTCTTTTTGTTTTTAAATCCCACTTTGGATAGACTGTGTGTGAATACATGCTGGAACTCTTTACAAAAAAATCATCTAAATACATTTCCTAAGTGTTTGTACTATTCCCTGTTGGTTATAAAGATCTTTTCTTCATGGAAGGAAAATAACAGATAGTGCTCTGGGTGGCATTTTTTTTGTGTACAGAGCAAGCAAACTGAAAAACTCGGCATTGTAGTAGTCTCAGTTGTTTGTAACTCCTGTGGATATGGAAACTTCCTAAATAGACTGTGTTCCTTTGTAAGTAACTGCTTCCCTATTGCTGTTCTAATTAAATTACTTTTCAGGCCAGAAACTGTCAACTGTTTCTGTTACTCCTCTCGTTGCACTTGCTATGGCTACAGTCTTCCCTATGTGGCAAAGAAGCATGGACTAATTTATACCATAATTTCTTTTCAGAAACTTGAAATAGGAGGCCTCTGAAACTAAGTAATTTTTTAAAAATAAAAATGTCATTGATTGAACAGCCAAAACTGCAAGGCCTAGTGTTTATTTAAAAGCTGTGAACATATCTAATGCACATATTCTAGGTCAAATTTTGGCCTTTTTTCCATCTAAGATCACACAGCATTGCATTTCTGATCTTTTACTGCCAAGTGCTGTCAGAGAGGTCTTTCTGGTTATAGGATCCCTTAAGTAGTATCACATACTACGAAAACTACAATAAGCCAGTCGCCTGTTGTTTATTCTGCTTTTAACCAGCTTCAGAAGAGAAAGTGGGTATTGCTAGGGAGATGCTAGTATTTACCTAATGTTTTTATTCAGAGGTGTTGAAGCAGCCTGCAGAATGAAGTTTCACAACAGATACAAGACAAATCAGTATTGTATCCAATTAGCAGATCAGCAAATGGAGGCAGGCAGGGGAAAGGATTTCTCAGTTACACAGCAGATCTTTGGCAGGTCAGTGCACAGAACTCAGGAGTTTTGATTTCCAGTCCTGCCTGCCTTGTTTCCCCTGTGCCATTAAAGCAGTCAAACACATGCAACATTCCTATCATAAGTGCTACTGATGATAACTTTTATTCCACTATGAAACTAAATGATCTTTTTTTCATTTTTTTAGCTGCTTTTCCTCATCGATTGAATCTCTTTTACCTGGCCAATGATGTCATACAGAACTGTAAAAGAAAAAATGCAATTGTATTTCGAGATACTTTTGCAGAAGTGCTTCCTGAAGCAGCCTCATTAGTGAAGTAAGTGACGTGTTTGTCGATTGCTTTTTTTTTTAACAATAGCATAAAAGGTGTGAATTTACTTTCCATTTTCCTTTCATATCAAGCTACTTGGAAGGGTGAAGAATATTTCAGGGATTCTGTCTTACTTATTCAATATGGTAATTGTGGATCTTAAAAATGTCTGAAGGCTATTGATGTGTATATTTATTTCTTCTTGCTTACAGAGAACAGAATTTCTTTCATTAGATCATTCTGTTCCAAAAATATACTTCTGCATGCAATGTTAAACATCACCTTGAGGATATTGGAGTACCTCAGCTGACACAGTTCTCTTGTACAGAGTTCATTACATGGGCTTCATGGGCTCTTCTGCAGTTGCATAGTGAAACTTTAATATGCAAGTTATTGCTTGAGTGAAAACATAATTCCTTCTCCTATAATTTCATTATCTGTAAAGCACTATACTGTATTCATTGTATAAGCAAGAGACAATTCCAGGACTTTGATTTGCCTAGTAAGAGGTTACTTTTCTCAGCTGCTGTTTTTTTGAAGCGTATTTTTTAAAGAGTTATTTGAGGAAAGATGTTGTTATAGAGAATTTTTTTTACTTCAGACATACTGGCAACTTTCTCTCCCTGTGATTTATTTGTATCTCTCAACTGGGCCTGTGCCAACTTATTTCATAGACGTTAACGCTGGAAGGGACCTCGTGAAATCATTGGTCCAGCCTTCTGCCCTGTTTTCACATTTCTTTATTCTATCCCACAAAATTGACTGTTATTTATAAATGTTACAATATATTTTGGAAATCTCGTTAGATGAAAACTTTTCGAATGCTTTTCACTTTGCATTCATGTATCTCATAGTCTTGTTAATCAAAGATCCTCATTTTCACAGCCAGTTTGTCTGTTCCTGCTGCCTGGGCTTGCAGTGAAGTTTAAAGCTTAGTTTGTGATTTTGTATTGACTTCTGTGGCAGTGACCTTGTACCTAGGGGAGATGAGCAATTCGTATCCAGAAATAGTAGTTTAAAATAAAAGGATCTCTGTTTTTTAAACATGAGTTGGTGCAAGAGACCCAGATGCTCTGAGCGTGCAACTTCATACTGGAACAATTTGAGGCATTTTATTTTCACTTTGAGGTCATTTAGATTTTCATCCGCTTCCTTTGATTAAGCATCACTTTCTTTTTAAATGCAGTGTGACCTGTGTCTTTGCGCCTCCACAGAGTGGCTGGCATTGTTTGGGATTTGTTACCTAGTGCATGGCTCCCATCATTTATTCCACACAAATCATCCCTTGAACAAAGGATACCTTCTGAGAGAGTGGTTTCAAGGGTCAGTGAAGAGACCATCATGGATACCATCAGTCTGCTGGCAGTCACTACTGTAAGAACATGGTCTAGTACACTCCTGTTCTTTCAGTCTAAAGAATTCAGTGCTGAAATGAGATGTGCTCACTCCCTAGATGTTATACCTGTGCCGCTTTTTGCATCAGAACCACAGCTTTGCCTAGCTGTTGAGACCTGGCCCACCTAGATGAATTTTAACACACAGTGGGCGCATCTACACAAGACGCTATGTTGTTGTAGCTCGTTACTACAGCAGCGTAGTGTCGGTGGGCATGGACCGATGCTACTGCGCAGTAGCTCTTTGCTGCTGTGCAGTATCATGGGAAAAGACATATGCAGCATCCAGACTAAATGACTGCACAGTAACAACTGCACAGTCCAGCACACGTGTAGATGCGCCCAGTATCTTGGCTGTTTTCCATTGATTTACATTTAACTTCACTGTGCCACAAAATTGCATAGATCTGTCTTTCAAAAATGTGCACCGATTCAGTTACATTAAATAATGAACTCTTTTTGACAGAGTCATAAAATGTAATCAGTACTCATCACAATACAAGCAGGAAGACCCCAAAGAAACAAATGTAAATGTAGCAAAATAGATAGCATCCTAGTTTTGTGTACTAGAACATGTATGTGTATTTTACACACACACACATTTTAGGGCGCACCTAAAATAACTGTATCATCGTATCCCTTGGATACTCTTAGCTATTGTTGACTAGAATATCCAAAAGCTTGAGGTTAACTTTCCTACCTGCTAGTTAACTAGACCATTGTGCGCTATTCTTTCTGAAAAAGTTTTGCCTGACAGAGCACCTTAAAGGAATGAAGATGACTGTCCCCAGGGAAAGATTTTTAACTTTCTTGCTCTGAAAGGTTCTTTGGTGCCAGCTGCCATGAGATTCCTTTGAAGTTAAGTTTGCAGTTGCATGAGCTTTCATTTGTATTTCCAATTAGACAGTTTATTATTCTCAACTCTTCAGTTCTCTAAGGTAGTTGCTTCTAGGCAAGCCCAAAGTGGGGCATAAGCTTTTATGCTGTATCTTGAGGTGCTTTATTGTTTTACTGGTAAAGTATTTATACATGTTCTTTAATTAAGGTTTGCTTTGCAAGGAGTGACACTGCCTGCAGTGAATAGGATGCTGGCAGCTAGTTGCTGCTACTCACTTTTCTTTTCTCCATATTCTTTTATAGAGCTGCTTATTCACCTTCAATTTCTTTATTGATTCAAGGAGCTTGGAGCCAGGGGACTTTTGAAATGACTTGATAGAAATAAAGTTTCTTTGTACATAAACCCAGATGGTGCTGCTAAACCTGTACAGTACCACAGCTTATGGAAAGGTTTTTGGAAAGCCATTGACATTAAAGGAAAAGTTACTACTTGTTTTTTCTACTTGGGTAGGGAATTTGCAGAAAGCAAATATCTCTACGGGTAACTTCTTTTTCTTAAAGAATTGCCTTTTGTAAGAGGGATCGAGATGTCAAAACCCCTTCTGACACTGAACATAAAAAGTGACAAGTTTGTAAATGTCAGTGATATGTTCATGTTCAGACCAATGGACAATCATTCCTCTCATGGTACCACCATAATCTAGCTTTTGCCATGCCTGAGAAATTTGTCTGAAGTGTTCTGGTTCCTGGAAGCTGTATTCTCTCAAAAGTTGACGAACATAATAAATGATCAGTGCTCTGGAACCTGAGAAAATTGAATTACCTTATTTTGAAAGTCTGCTTAAAATGTCACCTAGATATTTTCAGTCAAATAATAAAACTAAGGTGATACCAAGTGCTCCTTGAAGTATGAATTCTATCTGTATCAGTCACCTTCCTGCTGTTGTGTCCCTGCTTTTACAGTCTGATCTTCAGAGGACTTTTTTTTTTTACCAGTTTTATGGCAGGGCTTGAAGATCCTGTGTACTAGCGTGGCTAGTTGCGTAAAAGATATCTCTGTCCAAGCCATTCTTACTGCCATTTCATAGCTTCATGGATGTTAGGGGCTGGAGAGGACCTCACAAGATCATTGGGTCCAGCACCCCTGCACGTGGGCATTGAAGGAACATAATAATTGTATTTCATTATAACATACTAATCTGCTTAATACACTTCTAAAAATTTAATTTATTGCTTTTCCTGTTTTGTTTGTTTTATTTCATTCTTTCCTAACACATGCACACTTATATACCCTATTTTCTTTACCTCTTTCCTTATAACTTTTCTTAACCTGTTTCTTTTCCAGAGGTCTCTTGCTATTCCCCTTCGAATATATCTCATTGATATCGCACATCCAACCATATCTCCTTGCACATTTTACTGAGAGCAGGAACCAGACTTTATACTAAATTAAAAATGAAGGACTCCATTTCATCACATGAAAAATCAGGCCAGTTGCAAAGTTTCTAGAAAAGAGGATGATGCTTCAGTGCGTCTTATGAGACTTTCAGATGATAAGAGTCTAAAATCTGAAGCCCACCCTTTCAAGCCCTCTGGTTGTTGGAGGGGAGAGAAATCTTTTAATTTAATCCTCTTCACCAGCTCCTGTATTTTGGAACTACCTCCCCAATGTGCATCTTCCCTAAACAGTGGAAGAAAGAAATTCAACCACAAATTCACTGCCCTCCCCAGAGTTTTGGAGAACAACTGCAAAACTGATGGGTCTTGGTAATTTCACTCTAAACAGCAGCAAAAGCATTAGAAATGTTTGCTCCACAACCACAGGCACGCACAATTTAATTAAAAATGGGGTGCTTCAGTTGTGAAAAAATTGGTAGCCTTCATCTGGGAAAGCTTTCTACACACCCTAAGAGATTTGACTCTTTTTTTAAAGTCTGGATTGAATATCATGTTCTGCCCTCTGACAATCACGTGGGGCTCTATTGAAGTAACAGGAGCGCTTGCCTGCCCGTGAGGGTAGACCTTGAGAGTTTAAATCTTACAAGATGCCTTAACATTTTGAGAAAGGGTAAGGGTAGAGTTTGAGGAACATTTTAAGCTCCCCAAATCTTTTCTAATAGCAAGGGTTTTTTGTAGGATGCCTCTTTGTTTGCTTGAAGTTACACAGTAGGATTTTCTTACAGTGCTTTACAAGATGTTCTGAGCCTTTATTTGACTGGATTGTTAAACAAGCTGCTCTTGAATGCATGGGAGATGCTTCCACTTTGTACTTTGAAAACACAAACAATATTTTTGTCATTTGCGCAGGGATCCATCAGTCTCTAAATCTATAGAAAGAATCTTTAAAATCTGGGAAGACCGAAATGTGTACCCTGAGGAAACCATTTTGGCTCTAAAAGAAGCTTTAAGTAAGTTATTTGGCCTTTGTTTTTCTTAACGTGAACTTAACTTAGTGTGCAAGCTTGTTGTAACTATAAATAGAACCGTCTGAAGTCACTAGAATAAAATACATTAATTAAAGTTGTGTTAAATGCACTAATTGCTCTTTCTGGGTTTCCAGGAATAAAAAAGAAAAAAAAAGCCAAAGCTAGTATGAATGAGTGTTGCTGTAATTTACCGCCCGATTCTTGCATCTAAAGAAGGCAATTCAAAATCCTTTATTTGCATCAATAGCGTTATGCCAGCTGAGAGCAAATTTGTGTTCAATTTAAGGCGACTGTTTAGCCCAGAGCTTTCCAAACTGTGTGCCGCAACACATTAGTGTGTCGGCAGCAGTGTGTAGGTGTGTCGCGCGAAATGCAGAAAATTTTGCAGAAGGGCACCGCGGAGCTCCCTTACTCACGTCTGCTTCCCTTGGCCCCTCCCCTGGAACTGAATTACTGTGTCGCGAAATGATGCATGTGTAAAAAGTATGTCACCAACATGAAAAGTTTGGAAAGCTCTGGTTTAGCCTATGAGTTCCAAGTGCCTTGCCTGTATCGAGCCTACGTGCAAACTGCATGAAACTTGTGTGTTTGACTATCCCTGTTGCTGGGGTTTGGGGGCATCCAAATTCAGTCTGAGGGGGCAGGTATAAAGATTCCATCCAGGAAGGGCAGAGAAGGGAGATGGAAAAACCCTCTTTCCAGTTTTAATGTAATGGATCATAGTTGTATGTTAGTGGTAAAACAGCAACCATATTAGAAAAAAATATGGAAACACCACCTATAGTATAAAATAATTTAGTGGCCCTCAGATACTTAAAAATACCAACAACAAAAAAACCCTGAGATCCAAAACATTACCTGAAAGCATGCACCTTACATGAAAACCTAATATTTTAGTGCTTGTTGTTTTGATTGAGAAAGATTAATTGGTTACCATTTTCCCGGTCACATCATTAATGGCTAACCTGGCGTCAGAAAAGCTGCTTGAAATTTGTGTTTAGGGGAGAATTGTGTTTAAGGAGAATGCAAAACTCCAAACTTCAGTTAATTGTTACAAACTGAAAAAGTGAAGGGAGCGGGTGATCTGGTAAGTTGGGATCTTGTGGCATTTTGTTAGAGATTTTTTTTTGTTTTAATATTCGTCTCGTATCTAAATTTGATAGAGTAAATATTTAACTGTCTTGCAACACTTTGGTTGATGCAAGTCTCTTTAATTTAGAATCTGAGCAAGTATAAATACCCATTTTAAGCTAAAATGCAATTTACTGTTTACCTTGAAGTAATGTGTTGTGTTTTCCTGTTACTTTGGCCAGTCACAGGTGATCAAATTGTCTGAGAGTTTAGGGAACAAATTATTGTAAGCCCTGTCATTGTTGAATCGTGTTCTTTTAGAGGCGAGCAGACAATTGATTTAAAAATAAAATGACCATCACGAAAGTTGCTGTATTCCTGAGTAAACATAGCTTCTCTTGGGCATCCAGCAGCTCATCTGAGAGAACTGGTCCAGGTATTTTAAAATAACATTTATGTTAATCTTTTACCATACAAACATATGGCACCAAAACCAGAGCCTCTTAAAGGAATCCCATACTGCCAGACTGCAAAAAATGAAATGTTTTCCAGGTACCACTTTCAAAAGTCAGAAGCAGCTGAAAGAAACTCTGAACAAACAACCGAATAAGCCGTGGAAGAAATCTCAAAGTAAGGAAACAATGTCAACTATCTGAACTAATATAAAAATGCCTTCTTCAGGAACGGAAGAAAGTCTAGCACAAACTGGACTTAAAGTATGAGCAAGCATGTGTCTTCCACACTTGTGAAGTTCCTTACAGACCATTGTGTAAAGCACCAAGGAGTTGCTGCTAGAGAACCACTTTTTTAAAGGAAGGAAATGGCAATAAAAGCTTTAAGAGAGCAAATGTTATGAACAGTAGCAAAGAGATCTGATGGAACTTCTTGGAAACTGGCATTAAAATATTCCAAGATGAAGAGAAGACAGACATAACCATGTACATTGGCAACAGTAAAACATGGTGGATTGTACCTTCAAGTTCAGGAGTACATCTTCAACAGCAAACTAGATGATAGGATACATGGAATCCTAACAGTTGGGCAGTTCAAATAATGAACCATCAACTGTACACTGTCAGGAATACAGTTTCGTAGCTGGAACTACATTTACAGTGCATCTGTTTTTAACCTTGCAAAAAGCATACTAAAGGAAAGTCTTGAGTTGGCCATAAAGCAATATGATAATTATGGTGCCACACCACTATGTTCAAGTTCTAAGTCTAGAAGAATAAAAAGAAAGGCTAGGGCTTTTGGAAACCTGTATTACCAGGAAAAAAAAGATTGTCACAAGATATGTATGGAAAAAAAGTTCCCTAACAGAATGATATGGAAGTCAGCTTGGATGAGGGAGTTAGCGTTTCTTACGTGATCATCTTACTGTATTTTTTTTATGGTTTTAGTATATCATGAACTGTGATTCCATATTTTTTTCTCAGTCAATAATGAGGTGTTTAGAAGAGAAGTGTAAGGGAATCTTTAAGGAGGGAGAGCAGTTAGTCCACATAAACGAGCCGCAAAAGTGATCCATCATCACAAGGAAGTACTGAGCTGAGCATATCAGCTCTGTGTCTGGAGTTCAGGTAATAGGATTACTCTTCTTTTAGAGAGTTAAACTACTGCTCAGTACAGTTTAGAGGATCAACCTTTGCAAGGACTTATCTATACAGAAATAAAGCTGGAAAAGGATTGCACAGTAATTTTTTTAATAGTACATGCACACGTGCTCATTTGCTGGCTTTTAAATCCTACTTCTGTGCTTCCCAACATGTGAGTCCTAGTTGACTGAAAGGCAGAAGGAACACTGTGTGAAGGGAGAAGTATAATGGAACAGCAGCCTGTATGTCTTGAGAATATTTTTGTTGCTGTTAGTCTTTAACCAGTGTCTTAATTTTTTTATGCGCTTTTATTCCAACAGCGGCCACAAATCCAAAGGCTGCCCTGAAGTCTAAGATTGTTGCAGAATTCAGAGTAAGTTTTACAAATGTCTGTTTCTGTTGCCATAACCCTGTTCTTGGGCTGTTGTTATTGTGAAGGCTGGTTTGTCATCCAAAAATCTCTAGTGCTTGTTTGGAAGCTGGAACATGCAGTGTTGAGTTGTTTGGCCATTGTGCACCTCAACTACAATCCCAGTGGGGCTGTGGAAAAGGCTTTCATCATGTGTACACTGATGCAGTTTGAAAATTTTTAAGCCACTAGTTATGGAGGTAGTCAGAAAACATAAGAGCATAAGCAGTGCCATATTGGGATAGACCAGTGGTCCATCTAGCTTAGTAGCTTGTCTCCAGCAATGGCAAATAGTAGATGATTTAGAGAGAGAGTAACTGTACAGAGCACGTCTAGAGTAATCCATCCCCTGTCCTGTTCACCCTGGCATCAACATACGTATGTCAAAGGCTACATCCCTGACTGATCTGTTAAATAGCTGCCATTTCCAACCTCCTGTGGCAGTGAGTTAAAGTACTTCCTCTTGTTAGTTTTAAACCTTCCCCTTAAAAATTTCTGACATGCAGTCCTTCAGATGCAAAATGACTTTGAATTTAATGCATATCCAAACAGTCCCTGTTTTAGGAGGGACAAAGAGTCAAATAGAGACACATTTACAAAGTTACAGTCGCTGTGGTGCTCTTATGGCATTTCTAATTTTTAATGCAAAATTTACAATGTGAGCTATAGTTAGAAAAATATTTTGTTGTAAAAAATGTTGTATATTGAAAGAGACATGATGCATCTTCCCTTCCTTTTTAAGTTATTAGAAGGGAGACGTTTCACTTCTTGCTTAAGAATGAAATGAAGAGCTTTTGTAGCCATTTTATACGATGCAGAATTGTTTTGATGCACCTTAAACACAGACACTACCAGGAGTCATGTCTACACTTTAGAGTTTGTCAGTACAGAGCTTTGCTACCAAAACTGTCGTAACAAAGAGGTAGCCTAAACCACTGTCTTGAATGGAATGAGCAATACCAGTGAAATGCCTTTTTGCCATCTTAGCAGTCTTGGTTAAAGATGTGGAGGGGAAAAAAGGTAAATCAGCTTTTAACTGCTGCAGCTATGCTAGTAAAACTTTTTGATAGACATCAGACCTGGGTTTCTAATCACCTTGCTCATTTTGCTTTAATATGCTGTGGATTTAAACCATACATCTCTGAATTTACTGTGGCACTTGTGTGTGTGTGTGGGGGGGGGGGTCAGGTCTCTTTTGAAATGCAGATCGGTTTTTCAGGTATGTATTTATTTCTGTTGCTTATGGGTCTGTAATGTTAACTTTGCAAAGTTAGGAATTCTCTTCTGTGGAATGTGATGAGGATGCTGTTCTTGGTTTTTCAGCCACAGTCCCTCATTGATGAGTTGCTGTTATATAAACGCTCAGAAGACCAGATAGAATTGAAAGAGAAGCAGCTTTCCACCATGAGAGTGGATGTTTGCAGCACTGAAACACTGAAATGTTTAAAAGGTACAGGTAATGTTTGTTCTAGTTGTTGTAATCACAGGAAACCAAATATATATGGTAATATATATAAAATATATGTACTAAATCAATCTCAATCTCTCTCTCTCTCTCTCTCTCTCTCTCATTTATATTTAGTACATATACTTCCATTCCTTTAGTCATTTCCTGTTCCAACAGATCCTATGTTTTCCGTCTAAAATAAGAATGCTAAATTCCATGAAAGCACAGTTAAAAACTCTGAAAATTTTTTTGACCTTTTTTAATAAAAAATAAAATGGTAAAACAGTATTGTGTGCTGATGCTCAAGTGTATCAGAGACTGGAGCATTGATACTCCTCTCTCTTCTTTTGAATCGCTAAATCATAGAGATTTAGCGATTCAAAAAAATCACTGGAAGGGAACCTCAGGTGGTTGCACCTACTTCAACCTCCTGCTTGAAGCAAGATCATCCCTATCCAAACCATCTCATGCAGTGTTGGTGCATGTTCCTTTCACGTGCCACAGAAGCCAGAAATGTCCATCATATCTCAGTTGTATTATGTCAGCTGCCTTTGAATGTAAATAATCACCTTTCTTGGTTTCACACGCAGTCATTCTTCCAGTCTTTCTCTGGTTGTTCTTGTAAATGAAAGTAAATAGGGCTTCCAGAATTGCCTTTGTCTGTGTTTTCCAAATAAGTTAAAAAGGTTTACAGTGACTGTTCATGTCTGAAGCATTGAACTTCAGGTTTCTTGTCAGTAACATTTTTGTAACAGCTTCAGCTGCGAGGCTGGAATGTGATGTCTGATACCAAGAATCTATTTCCATTGCCTAATTACTAAGCCAGTAATTCTCAACCAGAGTATCACAACACCCAGGGGGGTGCCTGGAGAGCCTTCCAAGGGTGCTGCACAGTATTAGCACTGGTAGGTGTGCAAACATGATTCATAAGATAAATCCAGAGAGTGCAAATAGGAATCTGTAGCATCAAAAGCATTCTGACTTTTGTGGTCTTTGAGTTCTTTGCAACAGAAGAATCTCTCTAATATCTGTAGTCAAAAAACTGTAGTATTTGTACTAAAAAAAACAACTAGTTTCTGTAGTCAAACGAGTGACAGCTAAGAGTTGGCATTTCTCAAGTGGTGCTTGGAGTCTAACAAGGTTGAGGACCACTTCTCTAAGCTAACAACCTGTCTGTAGCTCTTGTTCTTTGTGGTTTGGCCGCTAGAGGGGCACAGAGCTCTTTCATAGTCTGTTTAGCACTGAGCCTTTATAGAGATAAGAATCAGATCCTGATTAGCACCTAACATTTCAGGTAGGGATCCCCTGGGATTTAAATACAAACCACAAAGCACAAATGACCAGGATTTGGGTTTTATTCTATTTCAAGGACAGATGTGTGTGTGAGTATGGGTTTCTAAACATATTCAGTAACCTGAATATTTAATCACTAGCTCTTTAGTTGTTTAATGAATCTAAGGAGCTATAGGTACAAGAAGCTAAACACAATCTTGATAGTAAAAAATGCAATGTGTTAATAAATGCATGTCATTTTGTTACCCAAATGAGTTAGAAATGTTGGTGTAAAACTGAAAATTGTTTTAAAGGCTCCTGGTGTCCTGTGACTACAGCCTTTAAGCATTGTCTTTAAAATGTGGCAGCGATTAAATAGGCTTTTACCAAATGGTAATGAAGAAAAAGGAAAAGCTTTTTTTTTTTTTTGCTTCTGGCAATTGGAACAGTAACATTTTATGTGACCAGTGCAGGTGCCCAAATGCACAGAACTTGGTGTTATTTGTTAATTAAAAAACATGTTAGAAATTAACTACTAATTGATTTGAAAACAAGAGTCTGCATTGGTTTGTCTTTAATGACTTTATTTACTGATGTTGCTCTTACTCCCTTGAAAGAAGTAGAGCTTTTCACACAGAGGGGATAATTAATTCTGTTCAAGATGGCACATATTTGCACCTATGTGGTAGCGCATAGTAGATTTTGCTCCTGTCTGACATTGAGATTCTCAGCAGAATTCAGGGCATTATATATCTTTGATGGCTTCAGTGTTTTATCTTTAAAAAGATAAAATATTTGTTTTTAATATTTCCTTTTAGACAAAACAGGAGGAAAAAAGTTCTCTAAGGAATTTGAAGAAGCAAGTTCAAAGCTTGAAGAATTTGTAAATGGTTTGGATAAACAAGTGAAAAATGGTCCTTCGCTAACTGAAGCACTTGAGAACGCTGGTATATTTTATGAAGCGCAGTATAAGGAAGTCAAAGTGGTTGCAAATGTAAGTACAAACTTTTCACCGAAAGCAGTTGTCTTGTGGTACTAATAACTAATGCAGTGTAGTTAAGCTACGAGTGATACAGTTGTGGTTTATGGAAGTCATTGAAACTGAGCCCATCTTCAGAGTTAAACATTCAGTCAGAATTTCAGAAATGCTACCTGAACCATTCAGAACAATTTAGGTTTATTTTGGTGCACCGAGTGCTTCCTAGAAAAAAGTTTTTAACATTTCAGTATACCAGGGAATGAAGTAGAAATTATATTTGATCATAATACAAACAGTTGAAAAGGTCAACGTCTGAGAGATTGTCTTAAGATAATTCAATGCTGCCAAAATTGATGGGTTATATTCTGAGGGCCCCCTGCCTTTTTCTTGTGTGTCCTGAAATTCTCTGCATTTTACAAGTGGAAAAAAATGTTGGATTAAGTATAAAAGTAATTTTAAAAGCTGAGCACCTTTGGTTATTTAAATCTGCCATGGACTTCTAGATACTGAAGTTGTTTAATTTCTAGAAATATTGTAACAAATGATAGCTTTGGGCTTAAAGCTGTTCTTCCAGGAAAAGTATGTTAAATGGCTAGAAAACATGATCACATTAATTTCTCTTATTGAGCCTTTGCTCTCTGAGCTGTATTCAAAAGATTCATTTCAATGTATAGACAGAAAGGATTGGATATTGCAAATGTCTTTCTAAATGAATATGCTGCCTTTAACATTGTAGAACTGATTCTCAAGTGTATCCTGTTTCCATAAAAACAATGCTAAAATATTCTTTCTTTATTAGGCTTATAAAACCTTTGCCAACAGAGTGAGCAATCTAAAGAAAAAACTAGATCAATTGAAAGCAACTCTTCCTGATCCTGAAGAGTCTCCTGTCCCTTCTCCAAGTATGGATGCCCCATCTCCAACAGGGTCTGAGTCCCCTTTCCAGGGAATGGGAGAAGAGGATGACTCTCGGTCTCCAGCAATAGGAAGCCGCAAGGCTGGATCTCCAGAACCTGTGACAGATAATCGGGATGTGGAGGACATGGAACTGTCCGATGTGGAAGACGACACGTCAAAAATTATTGGTACGTTCTGTGGGAGGAACAACAAAAGAGGGGAATAGTTTTGTGGGAAAAAGTTCTCTGCCCTGGGAATACTTCATTTCAGATTTCCATCTTCTGTGTCAGTCCTTTACCATAAATAGGAAAGTCTCAACTCGTACATAATGTAATAGATTAATAAAGAGGGCACATGCCATTGCTTCTCCATTGATGCTCAACTTTATATTCGTTTGTTTTAAACCTGGGCTATCTTGAAAAGGGTGCAGCTCTTAAATTAAAGAATCCTGTGGGGGTGTTTTGAATGTTTCTCATTTCCTTTCTGTTTGCATTGAAATTAGTGGAGGAGAGGAAGGAAAAACAAGTTGTTCCTCCTCCAACACCTGCCAAGACTGAAAGTGTCCCAAAAGTGACACCATCCACTACCACTGTAGTGGCAAGCACTGTGACCGTGACAACACCTGCTCAGACTCCACCAACTCCTCCCACTCCGAAGGCAGTGAACACCACTCCCCCGTCACCAGCACTTGCGTTGCCAAACCTTGCCAATGTCGATCTGGCAAAGATCAGCTCCATTCTCAGCAGTTTAACATCCGTTATGAAAAATACAGGTGAGTGACTGGTGGGATGAAAAGTGAACCTCCAACCACCAGTAAAGGAATTTGGTCTTGGACGCCATCCTCTGAGAGCAAAGATACTGAAGTGTGATTTACTTCAGGGTAGAGTAATGTGATGCTAGAAATTAAACACCTGCCTAATGTCAGTGTTAAATATGCTTCTTTTTAAATGATATGAAGGCTCCCCTATACTTTGAAGTAGGATGAGCAGAGCGGTTGGACTAGATTACTCACTGTAAAGTCTTTTCCAGCCCTACTTGTTTATAATTTTGTGAGTGAGGCATATGGCTCTGTAGTGATCTCTGAGGGCATTTGTGCTAGGATTCTTTGGCAGTGTCTTTCTACTGTTGCTGTCATCTCTGGCACTAAAGGTAGATGGTACTGGCTGCATACACAACTCCTACAGCAGCTAGCACTATTAATGGGCTAACGCAGGTCTGCATGACAGGGTTTTTTTTAAATGCAGAGCTTGTTGACATTAGTACCTCATTGCAAGTCTATGGGTGGTAGTAAGAGTTGAACGTTTTCCTCTTTAAAAAAAGAAAATCCCTCATTCACAAAACAGGATATTAATGGTTTTCATCCTCCTTGGAAAATAACATTTTTGTGTTACTGAACAGTTAATATTTCCACCCCAGGGGTCAGCCCCGCATCAAGACCTTCCCCAGGAACCCCAACCAGCCCAACAACTCTTACCAGTGGCCTGAAGACATCTGTTGTGGGGACTCCATCTGCTCCTCCAAATCCATTAGCAAACATCCTCTCCAAAGTTGAAATAACTCCTGAAAGCATTTTGTCAGCTCTCTCCAAAACCCAGACCCAAACTGCACCAGCATTGCAAGGTACAATATTGTGCAGAAAGAGTGGATTTGAAGTAAATGTTTAGCCTTTCTTTTTCTGATAATATCCATAATAAAATATTCTATTGTGCACCCTGAAACTAAGATGGTAAGGGATGGAAATTAGCTTGAAATACATTATTTTCCAAATGCAGACTTTTTGTCAAGTGAGTTTTTGTAACCTGTTTCTGAAGTACTTTCCTGTAGGTTTTGTGTTTTAAAAAAAAAAAAAGGCATTATAATCTAATGGCATTGGAAGATTGTTTGCTTTATTTCATTATTTTATCTTGGCATTGCTACTCAGTAAGCAAATAAACTAATATATTGAGTTGTTGAACTTCCTGACAGCTTTTAAGTTAGCAAATATTTACAGGATAAATAATTAGCTAAAACCTTGATGTTGCATGGAAGGAAATCTATCACAACCGAGGACTGAAGGTTAGGTCTGCCGTGGTGTTTTGAGCAGAAGATTTTCATAAGTTTCTATTTCTGCCTCTAGTAACTTGTTTGAGTCCTCTTGCTCAGTAACAATATAACTCTTAATGCCTGTATTTAATCAGCTGTAAAATGAAAATATTATCTACTTCAGATGGATATTGTAATTTAATTTGTAAAATAATTTAAGATCCACTGTAAAAGTTGCACAGTAATATTAGTATTACTATATAGAGATGGCAAAATTTAACTATGTTGCTGGCTGAAACATAAACTGACTTAATCGTCACAGATCCATGGCTATCTAGAAAATGAATAATAGTGAATGTTTAGTATAGTTTTTTGGTTGAAATGGTTGCAAATTTTATCCTCTCTTAAAACATCTAATTAAAACATTTGTTCCTCCAGGTTTATCATCTTTACTTCAAAGTGTTGCTGGAAATACAGCTCAGTCAAGTGAAACTGCATCTCAGAGCAGCACTTCAGCATCACCAGCCAACACGACTGTCCCTTGTGTCAAGGGGAGGAATATTCCTTCCAATACCCAGTCTTATATGTCCAAAACTTTTGGTTATTCTCCAAATTCTTCTACTGCTGAGGTTTCCTCTACTTCTGTCAATAAGGCTCCTATTGGACATACCCCTGGGCTTTCAAGTTCTAGTTTTAAGCCACCAGCAAATTCCCTAGGATTTGCCAGTTCCCATTCTACCAGTCCTTCCCTTTTACCTACAGAAACTTCAATGAGTCAGTCCTCTGAGATTTCAAAGACAAAGCTGGAGTCAGAACCACCTTCTCCAAGCCTGGAAATGAAGATACACAATTTCCTAAAGGGAAACCCTGGCTTCAGTGGTCTAAATTTGAATATTCCAATTCTAAGCAGTTTAGGGTCCAACATCACATCAGAAAGCCATTCATCTGACTTTCAGCGTGGTCCTACCAGCACCTCTATGGATAATGTGGATGGGACACCAGTCCGTGACGAGCGAAGTGGAACACCTACCCAAGACGAGATGATGGACAAGCCGACATCAAGCAATGTTGATACCATGTCTTTATTATCCAAGATCATAAGTCCTGGGTCTTCTACTCCCAGTAGCACCAGGTCACCTCAGAGCAGAGATGATGGCTACTCCCAGGAACTCTCTAATTCAGTGCCTGCCTATAGGTCTTATACTCTAGGCAGGGACTCTCCAGCCAGCATGTATAAACAGTCCTCAGATAGTATGGAAATACCTTCTTCTTTAATGGACTCCTCTCAGGAGAAGTTTTATCCAGACACATCTTTTCAGGAGGATGAAGATTATCGTGACTTTGATTATTCTGGTCCACCACCGTCTGCCATGTTGAACCTCGAGAAGAAGCCTGCAAAATCTATTTTGAAGTCCAGTAAGCTTTCTGAGGCATCAGAATACCAGCCAGTTCTGTCTAGTTACAGTCAAAGAGCCCAAGACTTTAGCGTAAAGTCCTCTTTTCCTCAGTCCATGAGGTCTATTCTTGATCAGGGTGAGAGCTGTGACCCACTGTCGTCTTCTCCGGGAATGTATGGAGGTTACGGCCTGAGGGGAAATGACTCCACATCCGATGGCTCCCCTTCACCTAGTAAGAATGATGTGTTCTTTGCTCCAGACTCCAATCATAATAACTTGTCAAAATCTGTGGTACATTCTGGCTTGTCACAGAAACAGTATCCAGACTCTTCTCACTCAATTCCCCACCGATCACTTTTTTCTTCCCAAAACACACTCTCAAACCCTGGCAGTAGACCCCCGACGTCAAGTGTGGAGAAATCTTTAGGTTCTTCCATTTCTGCTACTTCAACCATTGAGTTCAAGAACATGCTTAAAAATGCATCCCGCAAGCCCTCGGAGGAAAAACATTTTAGCCAGGTCCCTAAAGGTAGCTCAAATGAAGGAGTTAGCTTGTCTAGTCTCGGGCAGACTGGAATCTCTACAGGAGAGCAGCAACAGCAGGAAGAGCATTACCGTATAGAAACTAGGGTGTCATCATCTTGCTTAGATTTGCCTGATAGCACTGAAGAAAAAGGAGCCCCCATTGAAACCCTGGGTTACCATAATGCGTCCAATAGGGGGATGTCAGGAGAGCCAATTCAGACGGTAGAATCTATAAGAGTTCTTGGGAAAGGAAATAGAGGACATGGACGAGAGGCCAGTAGAGTAGGCTGGTTTGAGCTGAGCAATACAGGTAGCGCTTTTGATAACGGGCCTTCAAGTGCTACCGAGCTGCCCAGCATGGGCACAGGCAGTGGGATCTCCAGCTTTCAAACATCGTACAAAGATCACGTGCCGCAGTTCCAGGAGAGCGTCAACAATTTCAGAACCAATAACTTCAGCACCACTTTTGAGCATCATCTCCCACCTCCTATTGCGCCGCCCCCCATCGAGCATGGGACTCCTTTTCCGAGGGAACAAGTCGGCCCGCCCACTGGGCCCCCGTCTGCTCCTCCCAAGGATCATGGAAGCCTTTTTCCTAGGGATCACTCGGTTCCTCCCCACATGCCATCAGTGGATCACACTAATCCTTTCTCAAAAGAAACCTCCTCTCCACTTCCCTTGCCTCATGGGGTCCCCCCTCCTTCTTCTGTGGAACATAGCGGGGTTCCATTTCCCACTCCTCCTCCTGCCCCCACTGTCCCCGTGGAACACACTGGCGTCCCATTCGCCACTCCACCACCGTCAGGGGAACACGGCAGTGTCCCATTCCCTGCCCCCACCCTCCCCGTGGAACACGGTGGCGTCACCTTTCCCAAGGATCACGGTACTATTCATCAGGGGACGATGAAAGAGCATTTTAATGTGCATTCAGGACCAAGGGACCACGTGGCCTCATCTCAGCGAGACCACAGCGGTCCATCTCTTGGTCGGGTTCGAGAAAGCGTAGGCCTAACCTCCATCTCGAGAGAGCAGCTCGGGGCACCCCGTAGCGTTGCTCCCATCGGCCCAGCTCACAGAGACAACGTAAACCGAAGCGGCATAATAGCTAGGAATCCGCGACCAGACCTTAGGCCTAGGGAACCTTTCATTAACAGAGACCCATTTCACAGCTTAAAGAGGCCTCGGCCACCTTTTGTAAGGGGCTCTCCATTCTTTGCACCAAAACGCCCATTCTTTCCTCCCAGGTACTGAAAAAAGACGCGTGTCTCTAAGCAAAGGCATTTGGGACGTTCTAGAGAGCAGTGGAAGTAGCCCTTTCACTTTTGTGGGTTTGTTTTTTTCTTTTTGTTGTTTGTTTTTTGGGTTTTTTCCTCCCCCTCCTTAGCGAGCCCCGTAACATTTTTCTAAATTAAATGTTCTGTATCTTTGGTTGTTTATTTTTTAAGCCATCCAGTTGGCATAAGTATAGAAAAATGTTTTAACAAAAAAGAAAAAAAAATTCCACAGAGTATTGCCATTGAAATAAAACTTCCAGTAGTAGTAAAACATGATGAAATGTGCGATGTTGGGATGTTATTTTAGCTGGTTACCAAGTTGTTTCACTTCATGAGTCCTCTGAAGGCCTGTCAAAAAAAGGGAGGTGGGGAAAGGTATTCTGATCAAGGAAGAATCAAGGGTCCAAGCAGTCTCCCCGGTGGTAGAAATATTAACCCTTCCTGTGCCTTTTTAGATAAACCAGTCAGTTTCTTTGTTGACATCTGCTCAGTCAGTCCCTTCTGACGAAGTCTTGGGCATGTTCTTGCTGCTGATCCATTTCCAGACCGCCAACAGGAATGGGGAGGGTAGGCGACTAACACGTACAGTTTTTCAGCCCTTTTGTTTGCATTTCTGCCTGTCTCCAAATACAACAGGAGAAAAGTCTGCTTTTCATGGTTGCCACTGACCAGCTTTTTTCATGGTCGGGGTTGTAAAGTACTTCCTCCTTCACTGGTTTTCAGAAAACAGTCTGGACCACTATCTCCAACGTAGCTTCCTGCTTCAGAATACTAATACGCCAGTGTCTGTTTCATAGGAACAGCGTAATGCAGTTACAACAAGCAGATAAAGGGTGTTGGGGGGAGGGGGGAGTTGATGGTAAAGCCTAGATATATGCATACACCTTTCATACGTAGACTGTTTGTTCAAAATGTGTGTCTGCACACGTGTGCAGGTTGCATCGGCTGGCTTTTTTTTTTTTTTTTTTTTTTTTTCTTGTCCTCATGCCATAGATCCCAGCCTGGTAAGCTGTATTGACCTGTTTTCCTGGGAACAGTGTTGACTTCCATTATCCACTTCACTTTTTAATCACGTCTTTTCTTGCGCATTGTCCAAAGTAGCAAGGTGTGAGGGCCTGCATGTGGAAAAATGGAAACCATACTAAATCTCCTTCCCTGTGTGCTTTCATAAACTCTCACTTCTGCATTTGAGATTTTTTTGTATGCAATTGGGATTATTTTACTTGATTTTTTTTTTTTTTAAGCGAGTAGAATGCATCATACTTGTGTCTTGATAAGAGTTTGGGGTAAAAATATCTATATAAAAGAGTTACAACATAAGAAAATGGGCAGACCATTTATTTTATATTGTGTGCGCTTGGGCTGTGTTTTATTTAATATATTCCAGTGTTCGATTAGATCTGTATACGCTAGTCAGTGAATTGAAGGTTGCAAGGCTGTGTGATTGAACTACCCTGTGACTGAACTACCCTGATATAATGCTGTTCTAGTTCCAATGTGTAAAAACACCCCTCTTCTCACAGTTTTCTCATCTTAAGACAAAAATGGCATTGTTTAATTTTGCAGTCTCCAGCAGACAGCGCTGTTGCTGTTTCCTCGAAGGGAAGTGTGCGTAGGCAGTCTTACAGAACGGTGGGTCTAGTTCTATAGACTGTTTTGCCAACTGATTAGACTGAAAAATGTAAGTGCATGTAGAATTTATGCATAGATTGGATTTGATGGCTTCATGGTGCATTTAACTGTACCAGTTCCTTGTATTCATTATCTTTGAGCTCCTTTCAGTGATGCTTTCATAGGGTTATTCAGTGGCAAAGACCCATCAGTGCTGAAGGAAGCTCAAGTAAATTTAAAGAAAATATTTGTAAAGTTAAAAAAAACCAAAAATGAATCTGTTGGATGCATTTAAAAAAAAAAAAAAAAAACTCTGGAAAGTCCTGGAGCGTGTATTTATCCAGTGACATGAAGTAAGATATTTATAGCTGAGTTTCCGATATCCTCACTCGGAACATACGATCCTATTTCTCATTCGTAAGAATAGAGTTGTTCATCCAAAAATCAGTGCAAGATGAAAGAATGCCTAAGCCAGCTTTCATTCCCAGCCATACATTTAAAAGGCAGGATTTCTGCCGCATGGCTGTTTTTAATGTCTAATGTTAGAGACAAATCTTTAGCAAGAAAACCAAAAATATTTCACTGACTCCTTAGGTCTGTTGGAAATGGTGCATAACTCAGCCCTGCTTCTTTGCTCTTACTGAGACATTTTAAACAAGGCTTTCAATCAGTCCCAGCCTGGCATCCCATTTGCCTCAGATATCAGACTACACAATCCTGTTGCTTTACTGTCTTGGCTCAAAGGGACTGTTTCAGAGTATTTGCGACTCCAGGACGCTTTGTTGGAGGGGGAATGGAGAGGGTGAGGGGACTCAGGAGGTTCTAATGCAAGAATGAAACCAATATTATCTCAAACAAGGTTTCCTTCTAGAATAAAAGAATGTGAATAATTATTTCTGCTGCTCTTGCTTTTAAAATGGTGGATTTCAAAGAAAAGAATTAAAATCAGATGGATGTCATACCACCTATGTGCCACTCTCACAGTGCCCTCTGGTATGGAGAGTGGTTTTTGTGCTCTCCAAGCTGGGTTGAGGACAACTCAAAGTAAATGGACTGATGATTTAAAAAGAAAAGAAGGAAACCTTACTGTAAAAAGAGGGGGGTGGGGGGGATATTTTAATGGTGAAATCTCATAGGGGTTTTTTTTCTGTTTAGAGTTTTTTTTTCATTTTATTCTCTGTGCTGTTACTTTAAATGAAATGTCTACAGTAACTGAAGACACAAGTGTACATATGTAAAAACCACACAACCTTGTTCCTGGACATGAAGGCATTTTTTCCCCTGTGTCTGTGACTTCAGATCCCTAAACATGCTTTAACTTTTTGTATTTCATCTTCAGAGAGAGAGAAATAAACACATTTTTTAAAAATAAAGCATGAAACAGCGTGTCTCATGAAGCACATAACTTCATAAAGAGGAAAATAGTCAAGTGGCAGACAGCCTTCAGTGTTCACCTTAGCTGTTGTAGAATCACAGTTGAGCTTAAGTATTACTCTGGTAAAACTTTGCAGTCACTAGAAAATTAACTTACTAGAAGTTACAGACACTTAGAAATGAACCCTCTTTTATATAAGACCAGTGTAATACAAATGCTCTCTCATCAGACATATACGATATGTACCATTTTAGAGTACTTCTGTCCCCTCCGACGTAGCAAACGTACCGAACTCTGGAGAAATTCCAGACACGCTGGTATGGTTGGCATATCAAAGGGGACGTTCTGCAACTGTGGCTGACTGTGATCTAAACACATTTAGAGATTCTAAAGTTTTGTTCAGGTCTGAAACACCTGTTTAGATAATGTGAATAATGCTAATTTTTTTTTTTTAAAGAAACCTGCAGAATAAATTATCATATTCTGAAGTGGATGATTCACACATAAGCTGCAGTGCTGTTGTTTCAAAACCGCTGTAAATATTGACTGCTTTTTTGTGCCTGTTAAGATAACTTGGAAATGTTGGATTGATATTCTCAAGTGTTCCGTGTGGAGAAAAGAAACTTGCATTAGAGGAAGTGACAATAAAACTGCAGATCATTTTGAAATGTGTATTAATACATTTAATAAAATAACTAGTTCTAATGTTTTGATATTTCTTTTTTAACTGGAACTTCTGTTTTAAGTGTACAGGGGGCATCAACTGCCCAGTGTGTGAAAAAGACCGAAGTACGGGGTTGAAGACAGAAGACTAGTGATTTTTTTCCCCTTAACACTTGTATTTTAGGACAACAGACTGGCTTTATTTTCATCATTGCTGGATTAGCAATATAGAGTTGATGTAGCTTTGACCCTTTTTCCTTCTCAAAAGAAAAAAAAAAGAATCAGATCTGTTGCACCTCAAGCTGTGTGAACCTATTTCAAAGAAGGCTGAAGGGAATTGAAAACGGGTTTTTTTCCAAAAATGTTCAACTTGTTTAATTGTACAAGTAAGCTGCGTTTGGCAACAAGTCAAAAGCTACTGGTTAACTAACATAGTAACACCTGAAAAAGGAATGTCTTTCCAACTCGCACTTGCCTTCTAAGACACAGTTTCCTTTACCCCCTATGTTTCTGTATTGCTTATTAATAAAATGTACTATATTTTGTGTGGTTTCCTCTTAAAGGAGCAAGATTGCACCAGTTTACTGGGGATACTGCATATATTCATCTGTGTCATAATTTTCTTAGAGTGATAATGACTTTCAGGATTGTCTTGCCTTTCTGTCCCAATTGGCCAGAAAAGGGGTGGTAACAACTGGCTACGTGTTCTTGAGGGAACCTGTTTGTATATCTACTGATGGGATTTTAATTTCCTAGTTGTAGCCAAACAGCCCAAGAAGCAAGGATCAGATTTCCTTTCACAACCTTGGAAGGTGCCTGTTGGTTTTCAAAAAGCTTTGAGTCCATTTTCTTTTCCTGGGCTACTTTAGATAATTAAAATGAAAATAATTTGGGTTCTGCTCTTCTTGCTGGTTCTGCAATTCACTTAAGTTGAACAATTAAAATAATGTGGGATGCTTCGCTTCTCGTCTTGGCGCAACAGTGGGATGTCCTAGTATGTGGGTTTCCAGGTGCTTTAAATACATGAATAATCCCAAACCATTGTAAGGAGTAGATTTCCGTATCTTCCATGTTTTGGTAGCATTGGAGTGATGTAGTTGGGATGGTCCAAGACAATGCTTCTCAACCTGGTTACTGTGGGATGCCTTGAGATTATTTCAAGGGTGGTGTGGGGTGCCCTGTTCAGTTTACAAACGTGGTTCCCAAGATAAACCCATAGATTTCAAATCGCACTTCACAGATGTGGTCTTTCCAAGTTCTTTGCAACAGAAAAACGTTTTCTGTAAGCAAAAAAGAGTGAAAACTGAAGAACTGGCATTTTCCAAGGGGGACCTTGGGAATATCCAAGGATGCCTTCTGTTTAAGGAGGTTGAGAAATGCTGGTGCAGAAGTTACACACGGAGCAAGGGCTTCTGTGGGCAGTATCTTCTATTGGACCAACTATGGTAGGGATCAAGCTAGACAAGCTTCTGACTGTAAGGAAGGCATTCATCAGGTCTGGTGAGGAATCCCTAGCATGTGTAAGCTTGTCTGACATTATCCCAGCTATGAAGTTGGTCCAATAAACAATACCCATCCGTGATGATCCTTGCCTCTTGCATAATGCCAAACCAGGAATTCTCACTTC